CTGGGGAATCGAGCACAGAACAGCATCCCCGGGCTACCCACATAACAATGGGATGGTGGAGAGAACATTGCAAACACTTGAGAAAATTTTGATGAAAGCAGAAAACACAAAAGAAAATGAACATTTAGCAACTTTAACACTTTAACGTAGAGAAACACAGCAATACAGACAAATGGAAGATCACTGGCACAAATGGTAAAGTCAAGGCGATTAAGGGACAGAGAAATATGCAGAGCAAACAAAATAAACCACAACTGTGAAGGAAGAATAGTAATGCAAAACCAAAGGGAGAATCATAGTATCATACAGCAGAGAAAGAGGCCATTCGGCCCATTGTGTCTGCACCGGCTCCTAAAAGAGCTTCCAACTCAATCCCACTGGCGGCTTTCTCTCCACAGCCCTGCAATCCTGTCCTCGCCAAATACCATCCACTTCTCTCTTAAAAGTTGTTATTGAATCAGCTTCCACTACCCTTTCAGGTAATCCATTCCAGATCCCAACACCTCGCTGGGGTGAAAATGTTTTCCTCACCTCCCCTCTGTTTCTTTTAACAACTAACTTAAATCGGTGTCCTCGGGTTACTGACCCACATGACAGTGGAAACCGTTTTTCCCGGTTCAACCCATCAAATCCTCTCATGATCTTGAAAACCTCTATTGAATCCCCTCTTAATCTTCTCTGCTCCAGGGAGAATAATCCTAGTTTCGCTAACCTCTCCTCATAACTAGGGTCCTTCATTCCTGGTACCATCCTGGTAAACCTCCTTTGCACCCTCTCCAATGCCCTAACATCTTTCCTAAAGTGCAGTGCCCACAACTGAACGCAGTCTCCAACTGAGGCCTAACCAGCATTTAATAAATATTCAACATAACCTCCTGACTTTTGCATTCTATGCCCCTATTTATAAAGCCTAGTATCCCATTTGCTTTTTTAACAGCTGTATCTACCTGTCCTGCCACCTTCAGAGATTGCTTATGTGGATCCCCAGGTCTCTGTTCATTTGCCCCTTTTAAGATTGTACCATCAGCTTATATTGCCTCTCCTCATTCTTCCTTCCAAAATGCAACACTTCGCAAAAATAGAGATGAGAAGAAATGCAGGAAGTATAAAAGGGAGTGGGACAAAGTGTGTGGTTTACAGTTGGTGAATTCTTTAGAGTTTGGACGAACAAATAAAGAAGTTACTAACACACGTTTGATTTGGATTGAGTTCTATTAAAACAATAACAACTTGGATTTATATAGTGCCCTCCACGCTGGACAGCGTCTCAGAGCGCTTCACAGTAACAGATCCCGGGGGCCGAGCCAGGGGGAGGGGGAGGAGCCAGGGGGAGAGGGGGGAAGGTGACCAAAGGCGCGGTCGAAAAGAAAGGTCTTCAGCCGAGACCTGAAAATGGGAAGGGAGGGGGCGAGACAAAGGGAGTGAGGAAGGCAGTTCCAGAGCCTCGCCAATGGTGGAGCAACCTCTTTCTTTAACACTTGTCAGTCTATGGAGAAGGTTAGGGAGAGTGAAGAGAATATTGGGAATGCTTAGAGAGACTTCACTCTAGACCAGGGGTGGGCAATTATTTTGGCTGGAAGGCCACTTCAAAAGTTTTGGTAAGCTTTGCGGGCCACACACTTAATATAGATGCAAAATCTTAATAATAGCTCAAAGTCAAGGCTTACACTTGTACGTGCATAAAATAAAGTCTATATAATTGACATTCTCCGTTGTTGCAATGTGGAGTACTGCTGCGGTCATCGGTCATCACAGATCTATGTTTTGATTTATTGAATTTCATCACAGAAAATGTATATGTATGTTGATCCAAACAGCAAAAGCATCCTCCGGGCATGAGCCTTCATTTTTGGAAAGGTATATTCATCAAGAGAGCCATAAAAACTGGGAAGCGACACTGATTTGAATTGCTCGGCAAGCAATGGATCACATTGCAGGTCAATAAACTCGACTTGGAGGTCAAATGGGGCTTTGTCAATATCATATCAGAAAGGTGAAGAGACTAAAGAGGTCATTTTCGATCAAATTGAAATCCTGGAATCGGTGAGAAAATTCAGCATATAAGTCAAGTAGTGACGAAGCATACTTTTTAAGGCTTTGATCGCAAATAGTAATCTGCTGCAAAGTTGGAAAGTGGGCAAACTGCCTGTTTCCTATCTGACGTGATAAAAGAAATACTTTTGGCATAAATGACTTGACACTGCAATACAAATCATGCACAAAGGCCCTCTTCGGTTACAGTTTTGAATTCAGTTCATTCATGTGGCCCATGATATCAACGGCAAATGCGAAATCAGAGCCAATTTGCACTATTCAGTTGTGGGAAATCCAAATCATTTTGTTTCATGCCCAAAAATAAATCAATCTCTTTTCTCAGTTCCCACACTCTTTTCAAGACCTTTCCTAAACTAAGCCATTTTACACTCATGTGATACAGAACATCCGTGTGCTCGGATTCCAATTTCTCAAGCAGAGTTACAGATTGCCTGTGGTTTAATCCTCTTGCTCCAATGTAATTGACCATTTTTGTAACTGTGTCCACGACATTGCTTAGTTTTAGAACACTCTTACAGAGGACCTCTTGGTGGATAATGCAGTGTAGAAAAACAACAACAAAATGACATTTATAGAGTGCCTTTCATGTCGGGAGGACGTCCCAAAGCACTGAGCAGTCAGGTGTCGGGGCCCGAGCATGGGGGAGGGGTGGTGTAGGGTTGAGAGAAGGCAGAGAGGTGGGAGGGCAACCAAAGGCACAGTCGAAGAGACTGTCCTTGAAGGAGGCAAGGGAGGAAGCAAGGTGATGGGACCGTGAGATGGAGTTCCAGAGTGTGGGGCCAGAGAGGCTGAAAGCCCGGCCACCGATGGTAGGGCGGTTCGGGCAGGAGACATGGAGCAGGCCAGAGCCCGATGAACGGAGGGAGCGGGCAGTTTGGTAGGGAGTCAGCAGGTCAGAGAGGTAGGAGGGGGCAAGGCCAAAACAATATTCTGTTCTGGATTAGTTTCTTTGACTTGATCTTGAATTCTTTTCAGTAACCCAACATTTTTGCCTGTCAGATTTGGGCTTCCATCTAGTCACATTCGGTGGTCACATTGGCCAATTTTTTCCGCTCCACTCCAACTTTAAGATACACTTATTTACAAAAAGTCTTCTCCAGTTGTCGTATCTTTAATTGACCTCATTGATGCCAATTCTTCTGTGAGCTCAAAATGTCTGGTGATACCTCGAATACAAATTATCAACTGGGCTGTGTCTTTGACATCACAACTCTCATCGAGTGTCAGTGAAAAACATGCAAAATTGCTTACTTTATTTTGTAACTGCAGATACAGGTTCTCAGAGATATCCTCGGCATGTCTCACAATAGTTCACCTTGACAAGCTAATGTTCTCGAACTGGTTTTCCTTGTCTGGGCATAAAATTGAGGCAAAGTCAACCATATGTTCTTTATAAATTCTCCTTCAGGTTTGCTGTTCTTGGTGATCTTGTGTGCAATCACATAACTCACTCTTGTAATCTCATCCTGCGACGCAAATTGTTTTGCGAAAATGCTTTGTTCTTTTTGCATTCGAACAACCATCTCATCAGCTTTCTTTCCTTTTTCTTCAGCAGAAACCTTCTTATATTTGCTCTCGAAATGGCGATTCAAGTTGTAGTCTTTGAGCACTGCCACACTTACTTTGCAAATTAAGCACAGCTTTTCCACCCACACTGGTAAAAAAAATATTGAGAAGTCCATTCTTTGTTGAATATTTGGCCTTCAGCGTCCACTTTCCGCTTCTTTAATAAACTCATTTAGAACGTCCTCTTCAGTGAAAACTATTGCCGCGGTTGCCACGCGCACGTGTTTGAAAATTTGCCGATCCGTACATTCCTGACGTCAGCCTGATTCAACACTTAAGGGAGCGGCGCCCAACTAAGCCGTGTGATTGGCTGTTTTCTATTGCTGGACACAATGACAGGCCGGATAGAATCATTTGGTGGCCGGATATGGCCCGCGGGCCGTCTTTTGCCCACCCCTGCTCTAGACTCTCCATATCTACACAGGGTGGGAGGTGGGTGAAAGGCTTGTGTCTGTGTACAATGGTGGGGATAAATACATGTTGTTACCATAATTACTGCTTTTGAATCCATTGTTTTGAACCAATCGTGTGAATGTCTACAGAATAAAGGTAATAATAATAATTCGTGAATTTTATACAGCACCTTATCACATCTTCTAGGCATCTCAAAGTGCTTCACAGAAAAAACTGTAAAGTGAATTGACTATATTTTATGGGCGAAACATGGCAGTCAATACGCATAGCAGTGTCCCACAAACAGTTGTGGATTAAGCAAATTATTATTTTTTTGGAGGGATTATTATCCCTGGAAAAGTGATCCGCAAATTGACTAGCAACAAGGTTCCTGCTGACTGCTGGGTAAATGGTGTATGGAGTAAGGAAACTTGCCCAATGTTTCGCCCGGCTGGGAAATCAAACCCAGGTCTCTTGCTTGCGAGGCTAGTGCTTTAACCACTGAGTTACAAGACTCCAGATATGGTGTATGACAGTGTACCTGTTGTTTTTGTGAATTAGTGGCCATCACTAGCTGGTTAAGATTCTAGGATGGGATTTGAGCCTTTCCCCAACATTGGTAAAAAAAATAAGGTTAGGATTTATTTTGGGGCGAGAAGGCAAGATTTTCCGATTTTCACATCCGTTACTGTTGGTTTCAACATTTAGCAGAATATTTTTAAAAAGGGGTTTTAAAATACCAGTGTTTTATTTAATACAATTTACATTTACACATTGCCTTTCACATTGGGAGGACATGTTTAAGCTTGCTGATGCCAACTGAACACCCAGGAAAGAGTGAGAGAGGCCAAGATTACCGAGAGCACATTGAAAGAGATAACGTTTTTAAATATGAAATGTACATTTTATGTAAATTTCTCAAATTGTGAACAGGAAGTTGGCAGGCTCCACTGTTTGATTAATGGGAACGCCTTCACATAGAGCTCATCAAAAGGTCTGTCACTAGTTTGAAAAGTGGCCACAAAAAGCGACAAACAATCTCTCACAGTTTAAGCTCTTGATGTGACATCGATGCCATGGAAATATTTCAAAATTTGGTAAGCATTGTATTGTATTTTTTTCTGCTGTTTTAATGCAGTGCGATGATTAAGATGTTAATACTGGGTCAGCAAACATTTCAGATCATCAAAAAACATTGAGTGGAAGGTTAGGAGACAACTGGGTCATTAGGAGGATGCAGCGCTTTGTGATGGGTTCCTGATATGCTATTATACTTGTACATTGTGGCAGTTAGCACATGGTGATACCCTGGAAAGCTATGTATTTAATATGAAGAAATTGCTTTTTTATAGTGCCTTATAATTATTTTTTGGGATCAGCCGGGTGGCTGATACATGCAGAAACCCATCACGATGCTTAAGAGTCTCCAAACCAAGCTGAGAATTCCATGTATTCCACCTACACATGGAAATCCCAGAGATAGCTTTTGGAATGGAATGCACTCTCTCTCTGTCTCTCTCCCTCGAGGGACACATCCTGCTTATCTGATTCCAGAAAGTATTCAGTGCAGTTTGGCAAGAGCCAAGTCTTGGGGGGACCCCAGATTGTGTGTTGGGGTAACTGCTGAAGTTTAACCAGCTAAACCCACACAGCTTACCATTGATATTGGTTTATTGATAGTGCCTTATAATAATACAGCAATAATCCTTACATTTGATGTGTCAAAATATTTCACAGGGAATTGTTCTCACATTTTTGGGTCAACCGGGGAGGCAGTTTTGAACAGGGGAAGTCTAATAAGGAAATAAATAACATCCCAGTGGCAGCGCTAGCAAAAGTGTCTCAAAATAAAAGCAGCAACTGCCGGACTGAACCGTCTCATGTGGAACAATGTTTGCATGTGATGGTGAAGCTGAGTGCAGCTGGTGGAGACGATAAAGAGAGCAGTGATTAGTGTGGTTAGTGGCATCCTCTATCTGTTTGCTATTTATTATCATTGGGGACGACTCTTGCCATCTGCTGATTACCCAACATTACATCAACAGAAATGTTAATCTAAAGTAGCAATTGAACAAATAAGTTGGGACGGAAAAAAGAAGAGAGCTCCATTGGCGGATGTACCAGCTTTTAGGACAGGTTGATAGAGCTGTTAAAAAAGCATACGGGATCCTTGGATTTATAAATAGGGTACAAAAGCGAGAAAGTTCTGCTCAACCTTTATTGGTTAGACATCAGCTGGAAAAAGTAATTGGTTTGGCCTCAGCTAGAATATTGTGTCCAATTCTGGGCACCACACTTTAAGAAGGATGTCAAGACCTGGAGAGGGTGCAGAGGAGATTTACCAGAATGAGACAAGGGAAGCCAATTCGATAACAACTTTTAAGAGAGAAGTAGATAATTATTTGGGGAGGACAAGTATGCAGGGCTATGGGGAGAGAGCGGGGGAGTGGGGTTGATCACGGCTATGGGGAGAGAGCGGGGGAGTGGGGTTGATCAGGGCTATGGGGAGAGACCCGGGGAGTGGGGTTGATTTGGATAGATCTTTTCAAAGAGCTGACACAGATATGATGGGCCACATGGCCTCCGTCTGTGCTGTATAATTCTATGATTCTATGAGGCACTTTAGTTATGTGGAGAGACTAGAGAAACTGGGATTCTTCTCTTCAGAGCAGAGAAGATTAAGGGGAGATTTAATAGAGGTGTTCAAAATTATGAGGGGTTTTGATAAAGTAGTTAGGGAAAAACTGTTTCCACTGGAAGGTGGATCAGTAACCATTGCACATAGATTTAAGATAATTAGCAAAAGAACCAGAGGGGAGATGAGAATTTTCTTTACACAGAGAGTTGTTACGGTCTGGAATGCACTGCATGAAGGGGTGGTGGAAACAGATACAATAACAACTTTCAAAAGGAAATTAGTTAGGTACTTGAAAAGGAAATATTTCCAGGGGTCTGTGTAACGTCATAACGTCAGTAGTGGGGAAACGTCTAGAGACTATAATCCGGGACAAGTTTTCACTTAGAAAAATATGGGTTAATAAAGGATAGCCAACATGGATTTGTTAAAGGCAAATTGCCTTATCAGGAAAGGCTGAACATTCTTGGACTCTTCTCTTGAAAAGAGGAGGGAAACGGGTGACCTGATAGAGGTCTTCAAAATGATGAAAGGTTTTGATAGGGTTGACAAAGGAAAGATGTTTCTATTTGTGGGGGAGACCAAAACTAGGGCCATCGATATAAAATAGTCACAAATATCATTATTATTATCCTTGCGTTTAGATCAAATAGGGAAGTTAGAAGAAATTTCTTCCCACAGAGAGTAGTGGGAATGTGGAACATGCTGCCACAAGGAGTTGTTGAGGCAAATAGCATAGATGTATTTAAGGGAAAGCTGGATAGGTACTTGAGAGAGAAAGGAATAGAAGGTTCTGCTTGAAGGCTTGGTTGAGGAAGGGCAGGAGGAGACTCATGTGGAGCATAAACACCGGCATAGACCAGTTGGGCCGAATGGCCTGCTTTTGTGCTGTATATTCTAATGGTTCTAATGTAACCCTGATAACGGAGCCAGCACAGACATGATGGGCCGATGGCCTCCTTCTGTTCTGTATAATTCTCTGACCTTCCAAAGGCTCGGGCCATAATCTGGTTTAATGTTAGTTTCAAATAAATCAGTATTTCTACAAAATATTTCAATATTTCTGTTTCTTTTTTTTCTCCCCCAGGAATTTCCAGGGAATGAGAATGACACTTCTTACTATTATGGGGATGGTTATGTCTGCAATCCCAGGGATGAATTCAGCCTCGAATCCCAGACCATTGCTATATCTGTAGTCTCCCTGCTAGTCTCTGTAATGGGGGTGCTGGGGAATGGGCTGGTCCTCACTGTTCTGATCTGCACCAAACACACAAGAACCCCTACCGACAGTTACCTGTTGCACCTAACACTGATCGATCTCCTGCTCTCCCTCAGCCTCCCATTCACTGCCATTCAGGGTATTTTCCAGTGGTACTTCGGGCAAGTTGTGTGCAAGATGGTGGGCACCATGTATAAACTCAACTTTTTCTGCAGTAGCCTTCTCCTGGGATTCATCAGCTTCGACCGGTACCTGGCGATTGTCTATGCAGTCCAGACCTACAAGAAACGCAAGCAAGTGGTCATCCATTGCATATGCGCTGGAGTCTGGGCTCTGTGTCTCTTGCTGCAGCTTCCCAACACCATTTACTTGAGAGTTGAGACTCAAGAGAACAAGAGCATGTGTACCTACCCTTGGGCCAGTGTTGAGCGATGGCTGCTCACAGAGCAAATCCTGTATCATGTGCTGGGCTTTGCACTACCCTTGCTTGTCATGTGCTATTGTTACACCATGGTGGGCAAAACCCTGTGGAGGTGCCAGAACTTCAAGAGACGCAAGGCCGTCAGGGTTGTGCTGTTGGTTACTGCTGTCTTTTTCCTCTGTTGGACTCCCTTCAACCTGGTGATCTTCATCAACACTTTATCCAAACTTGAATTGATCAACAGTCAGTCCTGCCATTTTGAACACGACCTGGGGGTTGCCCTCAGAGTCACCGAATGCATCGGCTCTGTCCGCTGCTGTTTGAACCCCATACTTTACGCTTTCATCGGGGTCAAGTTCAGGAATGACGTGTTGAAGCTTCTCAGAGAAATGGGCTGCATCAGCCAGGCTACCCTGGACAAGCACTTCCAACTCAAACAAACCACCAAGAACAGGAGCTCAACTCTGACTGAAAATCAATTTGTGGAATAATAAGCACTGGGGGCCACTACCCTGCATGAGGGCGCTGTCTAATTGCAAGTTATTGTTGTCCAAACCTGCAGCGCAACCCATAGCCATCATGGCAAAGCATGGCCAATAATATAAGGTGGGGGGGGGGGGCGGGATTTGTCTAATGGCTCTGCTTACACAATAACCTCGCTTTGTGAACGGCGCTTGTTTTGTGCTCAATATTCTCCTCACTTTTACTTTTAAACAGTGTATTTGCTCAACCACATTTTAATAAAAAAAATGAGTTTATGAAGGTGCTTGGATCAGGTTTCCATTTCCTGTGACATTTTTGCAGTGTTTAGTACCTCAGCTGTGAAGAGGCGACGTGTGTGGTGGGGGTGGGGGAGGGGAAATGTAGGGACTCTTTTAAGCTAATTTGGAATCACAAGTTGAGTCAGTCTGATATCTGGCAGGTTATAAACACTAAATATTAGTAATATTATCACCGAGACAGTGTCACTGTTTGCACACGGCGGGGCAGCTTCTTTAAAGGGCATTGCTCACAAACTTGTTTTTTTCACCTCCACCAGTTGCGCACAGCAGCGTCCCCACAAACAGTTGTAGGTTGAATGACCATATTCTTATTTTTTTTTCTTGAGGGATTATTATCAGGCGTGTGTGTGGAGTGAGGAAACTTGCCCAAATCAAACCCAGGCCTCTTGCTTGCGAAGTGAGTGCTCTAACCACTGAGCTACAGGCTTCCACATTTACTGCCTAAAAATTATTTTTTTTGTTGTTGTTGTGCAGTACATTACTCCAGGTAGAGGTTTGAGAGAAAGTATAACCCATTGGCAGGAGGGGTTGTGGGGGCAGAAACCACCACAATAATTTGTATTTATATAGCACCCCTCACGCAGGGTAGCGTCCTACAGCGCTTAAGTGCAACGTTTATAAGTACAGACATCTGGGAATTTAAAAGTATTGAGGGGTACGGAGAAAATGGGTTTAAAAGATCTCCCATCATGTGATAAATTAGCAGATCAGGCTCGATGGGCTTATTCGGTTTCCTGCACCCATTGGTTTTAAAACAGCCAACCCGTTATAATAATATTTGCATTAGCTATGACACCTTATCACATCTTCGAGATGTTTCAAAGCACTTCACAGAATACACTGTAAAGTGAATTGACTGTATATTTTGTGGGTGAAACACGGCAGCCAATTGTCCCACAGTTGTGGATTGAAATGACCAACTCCAAAAAATTTTTTTTGAAGGAATTATTACCCCCTGAAAAGTGATCCAATTGATTTAACGATCGGGTTCCTACTTACTGCTAAATAAACAGGAGACTTGTGGAGTAAGGGAACTTAATCAATATTTTGCCCTGGCTGGGAATCAAACCCAAGTCTCTCGCTTGCGAGGCGAGTGCTCTAACCCCTCTACGGTCTTGGATTCAAATCATGGTAATCATGGTTATATGAGTCTGCTTTGGTCCCAGCTCTGGAGGGATTGGCTGGTCTCAGCTCGGCTTCAGCATTTGGTAGATGTTGGTGAGTTTCTTGGTTGAGTTGGGTTTGTGGCAGGATGCTTGTTGGAATCTGGCCACAAGATCGATTTTCCTGTCCACATGACTAAGTTTGACTGAAGTCAGAAATCCACCATTGAGTAAATTGGCCCTTGCTGTAATCACAATGTAAAGTGATCATTTATAATCAACCTGAAAAGCTGATGGCTTACTGCCCTCAAGTATACAATACAAAATTATATTTGTATCTCGCAATTCACATCAGAAGGACATCCCAAGGCACAGAAGCTAAGAACGATGAGTGGCTAAACGTGAACAGGATGTTATTGAGTTAGTGATGCAATGCTGAGCGAGATCTGTGTGGGTGATACTTTTAAAACAGCGAGTTTGTAGACAACTTAGTTTTTCTGCAAATTGCTTCTACAAACCTGGAAGGTTTAATAAGAGATCATTTGTCTGATTGAAGTGAGTCAGCACAGTGCACAAACACCCCAGGATATTCCAAGTTGTGTAATTACATCAAATCTTCCTAGTTTGGTCGAATCAATTTTTAGTGAGTTGCAATTTTCAAAGCTCCAAGTTTCATTAACCTGGACCTGGGCCAACACCAGGAGAAAGGACTGAAGTCAGAAAAATAAAGACAGTTCCTGTGGCTGGGACAAGATTGCTGCCTCTGTGGCTCACTGTTCATGGATAAATATTGCCATTCTTTAATAATAATCCTTGCATTTGATACAGCGCCTTATCAGATTGTTGAGACATCTCAAAGCGCTTCACAGAATATCTACTGTGAAGTGAATTGATTATTTTGTGGGTGAAACACAGCAGTCAATTGCCCACATAGTCATGGAATGAGAGACTAAATTATTTTTTGTAGCGATTACCCCCAAAAAGCGATCCTCCAATCGACTAATAACCTACTTACTGCTAGAGGCATATGGAAACTTGCCTAAGGTTTTGCACCAACTCTTTTCATCTCAAAAGATTTGATGTAATCTGCCCACGAATTGTGATCTCAGTAAGGCTGGAAGATCAGCGTGAGCAGGAGGGAGAGGGGGGAAAGCTCTTGAATTACTTCAGATACATGAGATAACATTTACTCAAATGGCTGCCAGTTAATAAATTAAACGTGAACTCCCCTAAACACAGTCTTGCGGTAAAGGCCTGAGTGAGTGGTTGCTGATGTTCAGCCAGACTTGCTCAAACAGGAGCAGCAACGCCTCCCACCGCACCAGGAAGTGGCCCGTGACCTGCAGGCAGTTATTAATAATAATAATCCTTGCATTTAACACAGCGCCTTATGTTTTCAAGATGTCTCAAGGTACTTCACAGGATAAACTGTAAAGTGAATTGACTATTTTGTGGGAGAAACATGGCAGCCAATTGCGCACAGCATTGTCCCCACAAACAGTTGTGGATTTAGTGACCAAATTATCATTATTTTTTGAAGGGATTATTACCCTCAGAAAAATGATCCGCCAATTGACTCACAAGCGCCTCAGGATGTCCTTCTGACGTAAAAGGTGCTGTACAAATGTAATGTTGTATTGTAACAACTGTGTTCGTACTTACTGCTGGCTAAACAGAGGCCTGCCCGGGAATCGAACCCAGGTCCTCTTGCTTGCGAGGCGAGTGCACCACAAAAACAGGCCATCAACCCTGCGCTGGTGTTTCTCTCCATGAGAGCTCATGGCAAGACAGAGCAGCAGTTTCAGACCATTACAGTGAATTCCCCTTTACGTTCTGAATCCACCCCCTCACCATATGTACGGTTTGTGTCCAACAAATACAGAAACACCAACAAAGACTTTTGTCCAAAGAAAATAGGTTATTCTTACAAAAAATGATGTTATTTTTAAATCTGATTTATTTTATCAATGGCTGTTATTATATAAAGAAAAACAAAAACCAGCATCTGTACCAAAAGGTGCAAAAGAAAACGTTCAGAACGCACTGTGAGTTAGACCTGTGCTGAGCGAGAGCAACTGGCCACTGCCAGCTCCACCGAGGTGTGCCAGGCCCGTTTGGAGGCAGGAGAGTGAAAGCCTCTGAAGGGCAGGTTTCACCGGTTCCCGACACCTGGCTCTGCACCTATGATGCCCTGAAGTGCAGCTAAACTGTACTAACCTGCCCACTTGCATTCCTTCTGTGCCTTTCCTCACGGCGGAAAAAGGTGTGGAAAAAGGCATCTTACCGATTGGAGACCCCTTGAAGAAGGGGGAAAAGAATGGAATGGAGGTGATGCCAGATAGACAGGAGCAGGCATTGCACACAGTGACTGTTTTTTGCACCTGAAGCCAGGGCAGGACCCAACACAACCCCAATGAGGTCAGGGCTCAGGAGGAGAACGCACAGCTCCAAAGCCATCAATCCTGGAAGCTGGGAGTTTGGTCCTGTGCCACTCAGCCGCTGTCAAACCTGAGAAGGCTGCAGGAGCAAGACTCGCCGCTTAGCCCTCCCAGCTCCACCGAGGCAAACACGGACCAATAGTTTGGAAAAGTCCAGCACCTCACCCCCAGGAACCCAGAATAATCCTTGCATTTGATATAGCGCCTGATCACCATGTTGAGCCATCCTCAAAGCGCTTCACAGAACATACTGCAAAATGGGATGACTCTATAAAACAGGCCATCAACAGTGCGCTGGTGTTGATGAAACGCAGCAGCCAATTGCGCACAGCAGTGTCCCACAAACAGTCGTGGATTGAATAAAACACAGGTTCTGTGCAGGAATCCACAGCTCCTGGAAGTTAGGATTTGTTCAAACAAGATTTTCTGGACACAACTTGGTTCACGCTTCACCTGTTGACTGGAAACATTATCTGCTAACGTTGGAGATGGATGGGCACTGAGGCAAAGCACAAACCAGGCTATCTGCTCCTGAACTAATTGCTGCCTGGAGGTGACCAGAATACTGTAGGGTGAACAGGGTCTGGCGTGACCAACACGTAATCATTACAGGCCAGACTTGGCACCCAATGCTCTCCACCCACCTGCCCAAAAGATCTGCTCCATCACATGACACCTGTGCAGCCAACAATCAGTCACTGTGGATGTACATCCATGGCAGCCGGTTACCCTGGCCAGAGGGGTTCATGCCGTTTGGAGGTGCAGGAAGCATTTGTTTAAATAGAGGGTTTTTTTGAGACCAGTTCTACATAGTCTGAGGTCAATAAAAACCCAATCTCCCTCCCCCTCCCACACGGTGACCCTTCTGGGACAATGGGGAGAGCACCCACAGGAGGGGGGTGGGGGGGGGTGTCAGGCAGGAGCCAGGTTTGCCACCTCCTCACACTGATATCGTCAAGACTACAGACCTAGTCACTGTACCCACTCAATCCCCACTCCTGAGCCGCAATTAATCCACGTTCTCCCTCTCCTCGTCCCACCCTACGGTCTCTTGGCCAGAGTGTATTCTCACCTCGGACATTAGCAAACTCCAAAACATGGCAGAGCATGGGTGGGGGGTGAGGGGTGGAGAGGACAGAGACAGAGAGGGGAGCGTTGCCCAGGAGCCTAATGCGTCATCTCCCCTGCCACCCCCCACCCAGTCAACAGTTCCAGAGGATTCTCGCCAGGAAAAAACACAGTTACAGAACCTTAAAAACAATCAGAGATTGAGGCTGAATATGTACAGCAAATATCCCATACCCCCACCCCTCACGGAGGTGGAGAGAAACCAAACAAACTGAAACAAAACCAAAAGCAGGTTGTCTGGAAGTCTTGGGCTGCGGCAATTTCTCTCTGTTAAAAAATAATCTTTGACATTTTCTTCCCTTCTGTCTGTCTAGTTAGTCAGGCTGTTACCAGTCTCGTTCTCATAATAAAATTATTTCTTCTCCGCCCTCCCCTCCCCCTTCCCTGGACTTTGCATAAACTCGACGAGATCCACAGATGGCTAGAAGGGCAAGTTGGCGAGATTAGAGGTTCCTGTGATATAGTTCATGGGCGTGTCCAGCGACATGCTCCTCTGCCTGAGCACCTGCTGGGGCAGCATCATGTGGGGCGAGGGTCCGAGCATGCCCACCTGGGGGGGCAGCATGTGCCCTGACTGTCCGTACATGTCGCCCGAAACCGATAGGCTCCTCTGTTTGGCTTGCATCAGCATCAGGTTCTGTTGGTTTAACATGTTCTGCTGCTGGGACATGATGCCCTGGTGTAGTCCGCTGCCCATCAGACCCTGCTGAGCTGGCATGCCTGTCCTGCCAATCAAGGGCCCGGGTACCTGTCCGACGTGGCACATGTGCATGTTGAGGCCTCTCTGTGCAACCTGCTGCCCAGACATACCGGGTGGCCCCACGCACAGCCGGCCGGCCGCCTGCTCGACCATCATGCTCTGAAGGTTCATAAGGTGGGGGTTGGAAGTGTGTGGTTTGACCAGCTGTGCGGAGTCGCTCTTGGGGAAGTACTGCAGTGTGCTGCTGGGTCTCTCGGACGGAATGATGCGAGAGAGATTAAACTCTGGAATGCCGCTGGGAGACGGACGGATCACATCCTGAAGTTCCGGGTCGTTCAGCACGGAAGCCACTCCAGGGAGCACGGGGGTGTAGCCGTCCACGCTTTTACTCATCATGTGCTGTTGTGGTGGTGCCGATCCTCCAGGGGGCGCTGGCCCACCATCGTCGTACAGACCCCCACCCCCCAGGCCCATCCGCAGCCCGGGGTTTGGTGACTGCATGGCGTTGTGGACTTGCTGCTGCAGCCGCTGAAGGGACATGGGATTCTGAGGTAGCATCTGGGCCCCACCGGGCAGAGGGCCGCACCCCGGCCCCAGCTCCATGGGGTTCTGCACCCCCTCGTGCAGGCTGGGGGATGGGACCATGGAGACCGGGGGATCGTGGGAGAGGGGGTGCTGCCCTGACACCACGCTCAGCCCCATGGGGCTGTGAGCGGATGCGGGCCCCACCACACTCTGGGGCTGCAGGTGTAGCTGCGGGTTCGGAGCATTCTGAGGGCCTAGAGAAACAAAAATAATAATAATCCTCGCATTTAATACAGCGCCTCATCACATCTTCGAGACGTCTCAAAGCGCTTCACAGAATATACAACAACTTGTATTTATACAGAACCTTTCACATGGGGTGGTGTTCCAGCGCTCTTATACAGTGAATTGACTGTATTTTGTAGACGAAATGTGGCTGCCAATTACACACAGTGGTGTCCCAGAAACAACAACAAGATTCCATTTATAGAGCGCTTTTCACGTCGGGACTGATGGGATTATTATTCTCGGAAAACAATCCGCCAATCAACTAACAACCAGGTTCCTACTTACTGCTCGCTACAGGTGTGTGGAGTAAGGAAACTTGTCCAACATTTCGCTGTGCCCGGGAATGAAACCCAGATCCTCTCGCTTGTGAAGCGAGTGCTTTAACCACTGAGCTACAGGATTCCACAAGATAAACATGGGCATGAGGTGTGCAGAGGACTGCAACACCACCCCCCCATCCCGTAGTTCCCTACGAGTGCTGATAATTGGGTTTATTGACTCCCCACGCCCCCATTCTCCCTCCAGCTGCCGATGGCGAGGACACACCTGTGGAGGACATCATGGCCACTGTCCTCTCTGGCATCATCTCGTCATCGGAGGTGGCGATGGTTTTGATGGCATCATGGTAGAGTGGTGTGGAGCTGGGCATGGCGTACTTGGACATCTGCGACATCATGAGAGTTAGGGGGTTCTGGGAAGGCGTGGGGTCTGGCGAGGAGGTGTAAGGCATACTGGGGTTGATCCCCTTGCCCCCCAGATTGGGTGCTGTGGGATTACCACGCATGTTCGAGGGGATAGAGCCTAGAAAAGAGAAGGGAGAAGTTTTTTTTAAAATATACAAACAGACTCCTTCCAGCACTGAGAGAGGCTGTTTCTTAGCCAATGCCAAGTCTCTTATAGGACACCTGGAGACCAGAAAACCTGGTCAGCTCTCACCTCTTCACTACCTGGACTGGAAGTGAGAACAAGGAAGGAGATCTTCCCTTCAATTCCCATGGGAAATGTTTTATCTCCGCTCCGAGCATTTCCATTGCCAGAGGCTGGGATTCAAATATCCATGAGTGTTTCGTACACCTTAAAATCTCTAAGATGATTGCAAGCAACTTGGACTTAGTAAAGGGAAACACATTCCACCAACACTCCAAGAGACTCCCGCTCACGCCAGGTGCACGGGCGACTGGAACGGTAAAAGAAAGGTGCAGAATTTGCAAACAGGTTGAACAATGTCAAACCCAACCATGAGCATCAAACAAAGCAGAGCAGGGTTGCTCAGTGATGTGGAAAAACAGAAAATATTATTCTCACCTTGTTCAATAGTCCCCATGTGAGCAGGATTCATCCCAATGGTCTGTTTGCCTGGATTCATGACTGGGCTTGAGAGAGTGGTCTTGGGGGAGGGAACCCACCCTGGTGAGCCAACGGGCATTGACGGAGACTTAAGTCGACTCGGGGAACTGGTAGGAGAACGGACAGGGAGGGAGGAGCTCAAGACTTGAGGAGACTTGATGGGACCGGAAGGGTTGGTTGACGACATGTTCACCAGCTGCGACGGTGTTTGTGGGGACTTTAAGTTGGCGGAAGGTGAACTGACCAGAGGAGAATGAACCTGGCTGATGGTGGGAGACTTGAGATGACCCATGCTAGGAGAGCCCATCTGGTTGATGCTGATGGTGAGGTCGGACGGCCTGCGACCCGGCCCCCGTTGGGTACCTGGGAGCATGTTCCCATGGCTCACAGGCTGCCCTGATGCTGGAGGCACCTGCATGTGGCTGAGTCGGCCAGTGCCAGCCATACCTCCCATCGGCATCGGGCATTGCTCAGGACTGAACATCTCTCCGTGATTTCCCACATTATTCACTTCCTGAGACATGTTGGAATATTGTCCCTGACCCGGAGGAAAGCCCGATTGTTCATGATTTGGGAATTGCGATTGCATCATCAGTTTTTGAGGATCCCCCATCAGGCCCCCACCGTTCTGTGCCCTGACCCGCGCCAGGTCCTCTGGGGTGACGCCCTGGTGACTCATCATTTCCTGAGCCCTCAGCTTTTGTGACATCATCATTTGCTGCTGTGGCGTCATCTGGACATTCAGATTCATGTTCATATTTACATTCATGTTCATATTGACGTGGCTCGGCCCCATCGATGTGTCCATATCACGCATGGGTCCAGCCTGTCCCAGGGGAGGACTCAACATACCCCTGGAGGCCACAAAGTCCAACCCCATTGAGTTTGCACTCAGATTGTCTCCAGGCATTTGGCCAGAAAACATATTTGGCATCACTGCAGCGTCCATTTGTCTCTGAATCATTTGTTCCATCTCCATGCTGTTGGCATTTGCCATCCCTAGAGCCCGTTGCATCCCTATTGATCTCTTCTCCATTAACTGCTGCCTCATCAACTCTTCCCTAACTCTGGGATTCAGAAACCTTTCAGGATCCCCTTGGCCGGGAGGGTAAGACATGCCGCCCTGAGGGAAACTCCCACTGCCACCCATTGGTGACATCTCATCCGGCCAAGTCATTCCAGGTCGGACAGACCGCTGCATTGGATTCAGAGACGTCAGAGCATCCATTGGGATATTCTGCATCCCCCCATACCCACCCACCCTCTGCATCTGATTGCCAGGGAACCTCGGCCCTGGGAAAGGTGGCTTCCCTCTGGGCTGCATGGATTCGGGGACTTGGATAGGACCGGCAAAGCGACTTCCCACTGCTGGTGGCCACTGTTCTCCAGCCTTGCTGTGGTAGGGAGGGGGGGGCCCTCGCACCATTGCCATTGGCCTTTGCATCATCATTTCCTGCATTGTTCTCTGATGGACCACAGCCTGCTCCTGTTTTCTCCTTTTCTCTTCGTAGAAATCTTCCTGGAGCTTCCTCCAAGCCATCTGTTCCGGAGTAGGATTATCAGGGTTGATTGGATTCATCATCATAGCGGCTTGTGCCATTGGGTCATGCAGCACATCTGGGTGGTGCATTGGATCGTGATCTGCATTGGTGCCTCCAACTACTCCCAGGGTCTGTGCCTGGACAATCATAGACTGCAGAGGCTCCTCTGGCTTCTTCAGCCCCTGCTGCCCATCCCCTTGTCCATTAGGAGGATACGTGCCTTTCATGGCAAAGTCAGTCTCAGTGCTCCTGAGCAAAAGCCTCTCGATGTCCCTGAGCGTCTGCAGTGACCGCTCCCTGTGCTCCAACTGCTCTTTGGACAACCCTTGTGTAGTCATGTGAGCACGGAGATTCATCCCCGGTGGGGCAGTCCCATTTGAACCGTCTCCGCTCACACACACCATGCTCACACCAAGTGCGTTCCCTGCATCCGCCTGCATCGCACTGGCTGCTGTGCCACTGGTCTCCATGGGTTTGACTCTGATCTCCGAGTGCATGTCCTCAGGTAGCCCCTCCTGGGGCAGCAGGTTTGGGGGCTGCAGCCCTGATTGCTGGGACTGGGGAGCACTGGCTGAGGTACTGATCGACAGCTGCTCCTGTGGCCCCGCTCCTTTCTGAGGGGGGCAGGACGCCTGTTAATGAAAGGAAAAAATTAATTATTCACTAATCCTGTCACTGCTGGGAAAGGGGAATGGGAAATTGTGTTGGCAACCAGGCTCTCAGCCCCCTCCACCCCCCCACACAGAGCTGTAATGACGCGCTCACGCGCACACAGAGCTGTAATGACGCACTCACGCGCACACAGAGCTGTAATGACGCGCTCACGCGCACAGAGCTGTAATGATGCGCTCACACACAGAGCTGTAATGATGCGCTCACACACAGAGCTGTAATGATGCGCTCACACACACAGAGCTGTAATGATGCGCTCACACACACAGAGCTGTAATCACGCGCTCCTCACACACATAAATAGATCAAAGGAGGAAGCACTGCAACCTGGCCACAGGATGCTCAAGCCACATCCTGTCGGAGCTCAGAGCGTGTGACCAGCTGCTCACTGAGATACACAGCACCCAAACCCCGGTGAAAACGAATCTGCTTCCACAGCCAAGGTCAAGAGCCGGACAAAGCTTCCGACAATCCAGTCAGATTGGCATCTCTCTGTGATCTGTACACTGACACAACACGGCCTGTGTTCACACCTCAGAGGCTACACGGTGGCAACAAACAAACAAAGGCTCCTGCTTGTTGATGATGTCAGAACCACCTCAGAGCAGTCAATTCCTCAGGCAAAGGAGAATTACATTCTGAAGCAGTTTAAGGACAAATTGATTGGCTTGGCGTGCTTCCTCACGGTGCTGAATAATTCAGTTACTCAACCCATCTGGGTGAAGGATTATTGTGGTTGTGCAGAACCTTCAGTGAGACAAAGGTCTCAGCCCTCAGCCCAGGCCCCCCCCAGCCTCAGCCCAGGCCCCCCCCAGCCTCAGCCCAGGCCCCCCCCAGCCTCAGCCCAGGCCCCCCCCAGCCTCAGCCCAGGCCCCCCCAGCCTCAGCCCAGCCCCCCCAGCCTCAGCCCAGGCCCCCCCCAGCCTCAGCCCAGGCCCCCCCAGCCTCAGCCCAGGCCCCCCCCAGCCTCAGCCCAGGCCCCCCCCAGCCTCAGCCCAGGCCCCCCCAGCCTCAGCCCAGGCCCCCCCAGCCTCAGCCCAGGCCCCCCCCAGCCTCAGCCCAGGCCCCCCCCAGCCTCAGCCCAGGCCCCCCCCAGCCTCAGCCCAGGCCCCCCCCAGCCTCAGCCCAGGCCCCCCCCAGCCTCAGCCCAGGCCCCCCCCAGCCTCAGCCCAGGCCCCCCCAGCCTCAGCCCAGGCCCCCCCAGCCTCAGCCCAGGCCCCCCCAGCCTCAGCCCAGGCCCCCCCCAGCCTCAGCCCAGGCCCCCCCCAGCCTCAGCCCAGGCCCCCCCCAGCCTCAGCCCAGGCCCCCCCAGCCTCAGCCCAGGCCCCCCCCAGCCTCAGCCCAGGCCCCCCCCAGCCTCAGCCCAGGCCCCCCCCAGCCTCAGCATTCATTAATCTTCTATGTCATTCATCACCAGAAAGGTTTAGCTATTTCTTTAGTTGTATGAAATCAGAGGCAAATTAGGAAAGTTCTTTTGTTCAAATAATGGTAAGAATTTTGTCACAACAAAACGTTTGGGAAGGGGAAGAGAGAGGGGGGTTGGGTTAACTCTTGCATCACCAAATCACACCCAACTTTACAGCGAATTAAGTGATAAACTCCGAAATCAGGCGCTCACTAACCTTAGGGTCATATACATGTTCCAGTTTGGTACGTGGCACATTATGCGAGTGGTAGGCAACAATGGAATCCGCTCGGCCCTGGATCACAGCCTCGGCCGCCCTACAAGCAATACAAACGCCAATCAGCAACTGGCTTATCTGTTCCGGTTCTCGCCCCCCACCCCATACCCGAACCACAACTCACTCTGCTTTTAAAATCCAGTTTTCTTTTTCCTGTCACCACAGAAAAACCATTGGGTAATAATCCCATAAACAAATAATCATAATAACTGTTAGTCCCACAAACAGTCGTGGATTGAGTTTCCAAATAATTATTATTATGTTTTTTTTAAGGGATTATCATCCCTGGAAAAGTGATCCACCAGTCGACTAACAACTGGGATCCTACTTACTGCTGGGTAAACAGAGGCGTGTGGAGTAATGAAACTTGCCCAACGTTTCACCAGGCTGGGAATTGAACCCAGGTCTCTCGTTTGCAAGGCAAGTGCTCTAACCACTGAGCTACAGAACATCGCAGGAACTTCCCCTGGGAGAGTCACTGACACAGTGCTGCGTGTTCTCCTGCACACAGGTAAACCCAGCCCCTCGCTGCACAATCTTCCTGCACTGCAGCAGTGACCACTGTAGTAACCACGGTAGCTCTGCTTCCCGACGTGACAAAGAACATGATGTCATCAGGTACACGCGCAGAGGGCCCTGAAACCTCAGGATCACTCAAAAATAGGATGGATTCATTCACTTTTCAGCTGGTATTGAACTGTTTTCAAAGATAAAGGATTCAAGAGTGAACCCTGAACACGCCGTGCAGTGAGCCCAGGGCTGATCCACACACTGTGTACTCACATGTTGGCGAGATTGGTTGTGAAGACGTAGACAAACTGGGAGGGTGGCTTGCCGGCGGTGCCGGGTTTGCTATCCAGCCGCAGTCCCGGCCCCCCAGGCGGCTTGTGGGAGACACTGGAAGATGAGTTTTCGTTGATCTTGGGGAGGGCATTTGATCCAGGAGCTGGCTGTGAATTCACTGACAGGGTGGCATCCCCAACATTACAATCTGTAAACAAAACAAGAACAGCCTTTATTGCCCCCAGCACATCAATCCAGCCAGTCTGAGGGGAAACAATCTCACGGAGAGGGGGGCCTTTCCCTGCTTCCACACACTATCCAGCCCTCTTCAGGCTGAAATTACCCAGGGGGGAAATTTTTTAGTGACGAAATCCACAGCTCTGTTCCAATATAAATCCTCAGGAATCTCCACCATCACCGCCCCCCCACAATACGCTTTCCTTTCTCTGCTCTCTTGGAGGAGTTATTGGACAATAATATTGGCACCCTCACACCACGTTCAACTGGCCAATCCTCGCACATGAGGCTGTGTTCGAACCAGTTTCGGGCCTGGGTTGTTCCCAGACTGGGGACATGCTTCATGCAGACTCCAAGAGAGGAAATGGGGGGAAAAGCATGTTTAAAAAAAACACCCCCAAACCCCCCCCCCCCCCACCCCAGCATCACTTTGAAACACGTCATTTGGAAACTCCATGAAACACCCTGAAAGTAGAGAGAACATCCTAAACTATTGCAAACAAGTTACTGGATAAAAAACTCTCAGCAAAATCACTTTACATACAACAACCATAGAGCAGCAGAGAACGAAGCGAGCAAACATCCCAAAGGGGAAACGGGAATATTTCAGTGAATGTTAGTCTTCCCAGCAGATGGTGCAGTTTGTGGATAACTATACACAATGACAGCAGGGGGCACTGCAGGGTTCTCTTGGCTCCATTCCCAGCTCTTTTTCCATCCATTTGAGGTTAATCTCAAACCATTCAGGAGGCTATTTGGGGGTTACTGGATCGGCAGCCTGCAATTGTGTGGTAAAATTAAGATTGTGCAGAATTATGGAGAATTATTAAATCCAGGGCCAAGCTTTTTTTTAATGTAAACTGCGGAAAAACAGTTTTCAAATTACAACTGAAATTTTACGACTTTTCCACAATTCTCTTGATGCGAGTCTCAGAGGATAAACTTAGGTGAAATTTTGGACCGTAGAATGAGAAAAATGACCGAAAGGTCAATTTAATATCAAATACTGAAAACTAGACACGTTTCCCAGAGATCTGCGCAGGAGTCTGCTCCAGAAGGCAAGTCTCAATGTTCTAGCTCGCAAACCCAGCCCAGAGCCCACAGCGTCTGAACACAGCCCAGAGCCCAGGTGGTCGCCTGGCCTGAGGACTACTGACCAAGATCAGAACTATACGTTAATAAAAATATGCAGCAACTTTTGGTGAAGTGACCTTTCTGTGACCGATCGCTGTAGCGGAACGGGAAGATGGTCTCACTCTGTGGGGCGTGCCGAGGCTTCTCCTCTTCCTCACTGTCGGGGCCAGAGTACCACTCGTCCCCGCTGTACGGCTGCTTGCGCTCCAACACACAGCGGCGTTTGCTGCGAGGGGCTCCGTCTGCTGTGGCACAAACACACACACACTTTGTCAAGTCCTTGTACTCCACCAATCTGCCTGACAAAAGCGAACAAAGAATAAAACACTGAACCAAACGCACTCTTCGTCACGCAGCTCACAGCCGCATCATGGAGCCTGGTCAATGCGACAGTTCCGAGTGAGACTAACCCGATCTGAGAGACGACAACAACCGCTGAAACACTGACTGTATTCAATCCAGGAAACTGGCTCCATGTTTCCAACCAAGGAATCATAGAAAGAAAAACAGAGGCTATAGCAGGACTAAGCAAGCATTGTTTGTGGGATGCTGCCGCGTTTCACCCACAAAATATACAGACAATTCACATTACAGTAAATTCTGTGAAGCGCTTTGTGACGTCTTGAAGACATGAAAAGGCGCTATTTCAAATGCAAGGTTTATTGCTGCCACAGTTCAATAACAAAACCACCAGAAACAGAGGTACAGAGGTACTGGGAGATCGCGGCAATGATCTCCTGAAGGCCCATTCTCATATTAAAACAGGCTATTTCAATTTTTTTTTATTGTGTCCTTAAGTTCTGTCTGCCTTGTGATCCAGGTGGATGTGAAGGAACATAACATTCACCTAATTTCTAACTAATGCTAATTTGTAAAGCGCTTCAAGATGATATTTATTATGAATTGGGGTTCATTTTTTTTGAAACACTGGCTCGTGCTGACGGACAGTTCCAGCAGAAGGAGGATTCCTATATCTCCCAGTTGCTTAAAAGTCTAAATCATTCTTCCCCTGGAGACCTGTGCACATGCGTCTCTCTCTCTGAACATTCCATCTGTGAAGCATTGTTTATAGTTTGTGCGTCACCGACACATTGAGAATAATGCACAAAGTACAATGCTTCAAAGATGGGAGGTCCAGAGGGAGAGAGACACACACATACACAATCATGATATCTGACAGGCAAGTGACGGACTTGTGGTTAAATGCCACCACAGACCCCCTTTTCTTACTTTCAGAAATAAAACACTAACTTGCTACTTTCCTGGAACTAAGAGGGCAATTTGGGATTTTGCACGAACAGGTGCCGGTGTCACTATGTCCAGGTGCGAATTGCCTCAGTTTAGTGTTCACCGCTTTGCCGTCACTCATCCCCAAAACCTACCTTTAGATTCTGGATCTACCACCGGCAAAGCCGTCTCCCGCGGGTTGGAATCTACGGAGACGCTCCTCTCTCGTTTGACTTTCCCCTTCAATGCTCCGAGACCCGATGTCAGGATTTGACTGCCCTTTAGCCCTGTGTTTCCAGGAGAGATCTGGTTGGCTTTGCCACCCTGTCCAGTGGCAGGGGTGACCTTTGATGCCACGCCACACAGTGTCCCCTGGGTGCCAGCCGCAGGCTGGGTGCTGGTGCTGACGGGCTTGCCCTGGGTGCCCAGCTTAGTGTCCGAGTGCATTGGATTGGGAGTGGGCGGTGTCCGGCTTTCCCCCTCGTGCTTCACCTTTGAGCTATTGTCGGGGAACCTGCGCAAGAGAAACAGAAAACGATAAATAAGGCTAGCTCCTTCTACCCCGGTCTTCAATCCATTGAGATTCTGAAACTTACAGCTCCTGCAAAGGGAATAGGGAAATTCTTTCACACTGAGAATAATTCGATGCAGCCAACTGACTTGCAAACAACATCAAGGTGGGAGCTACAGGAATCATGGTGGGGAGAAATAGTGAAGTTGAGATGGACTGACTTACAAGGGCCCAGAAATGTTGTGCACAGCAATCATGCACCAATCACGGCTGTGTTGTGCAGCTGGGGTGGGTGACAGGGGGAGTAAGAACATACTGAGGAACGGACTCTGTTCCTCCAGCTTCAGGAGCAATGAGGAGAGGGGCTGGAGCAGCTGTGACAGACAAATCTGGTCACTTATTCTCACCATTAACAAAAAACATTGGATCCAGAAATGATATGCAACTGTAGGAGAGAGACTCCCACACAACACACACTGTCTAACTGGAAGCAACTCAGGGGAAACCCATTTTATTTCTCCATTAACCAGAGTGAAACTGTGGGTGAGAAAGGTCTAAATAAGTACGTTGAGGAAACTCGTCACAGACAGAAACTGAGTCTGTAACATCAGTATTTCCTTAGAGGCATGTCTCAGTGACTTCCCCCACACCAGGCCACTCTGTACATACAGTGGTCAGCATAGACTCGGGGCTACAAATGTCTCTCTTCTTCTCTCTTCCCTCCACTCCACACGCTCTCTATCTTTCCGTCTCTTTTTCTCTTTCAGATAATGTGGTCATTCAATTCATGACTGTTGTGTGCCGCGATTCGCCCACAAAATATACAGTCAATTCACTTTCTAGTATATTCTGTGAAGCGCTTTGAGATGTCTCGAAGACATAAGGCACTGTATCAAATGCAATATCGTCGTTCCCCCTCCTCTTTAGCAATTTGCTAAATACTCCAGACCCGCTCAGGGATTTTTTTTTACTAACTCCAGTCGTTTTTTTTGCAGAATGTCCACAAGCCTGAACTCATATTCAGGTTACTAGTTATGGAATATTTAAAGTTCACTGCCTAAAAGCTGCTGGATTTCCTTAGAGGCATGTCTCAGTGACTTCCCCCACACCAGGCCACTCTATACATACAGTGGTCAGCATAGACTTGGGGCTATCAATGAGATTCTTTTCCCTAGCACCTCTCACTCACACTCATAGACAAGATACAAAGAAAGACTTCCTGTCTCAAACGAATCCTTCTCTCACCTCCAGCCTCAGATCCCCAGCCCCCCAAACCCTCCTCATTTAGATTTTTTTTCCCTTAAACTTTCCTCTCTAGTTTCCCCCAAGAGCTAAATCCCCCATCATCATACTCCTCCCTCTCCTAATCATATTATTATAATAATAATCCTTTCATTTGATTTGGCGCCTTATCACATCATTGAGACATCTCAAAGCACTTCATGGGATACACTGTAAAGTGAAGTGACTGTATTTTGTGGGCGAATATTGCCATCCAAATTCCTTGTCATCGTCTCCTCTTTCCCACACTGCAGGTCATTCAGAACTCTGCAGTTCGTGTACTGTCCCGCACCAGGCTTCGCGCCCACATCATTCCCACCCTCGCCCTCGCCCTCACTCCCACCCTCGCCCTCGGTCGCCTCCACTGGCTCCCCATCCCCCAGAGGATCGAATTCAAGATCCTCATCCTCACCTACAAGGCCATTCACGGCCTCGCTCCCTCCTACCTCTCCGACTTACTATCCCCCTACTTACCTGCCCGTACCCTCCGTTCCTCTGGCTCCGGTCTGCTCCACATCTCCCGCCCCAACCACTCTACCATCGGTGGCCTTCAGCCTCTCAGCCCCGAGGCTCAGGAACTCCATCCCCAGTGCCTTCGTCGCTTCCTCCCTTTCCTCCTTCAAGGCCGGTCTCAAGACCTTTCTCTTCGACCGTGCCTTCAGTCCCCTCTCGACCCCCTCCTCGCTCCCTCCCTTCCCTCCCCTCACCCTGACCATTTCCCCGACCCAACTGTCCAGCGCCTTGGGACGTCCTCCCAACGTGAAAGGCGCTCTATAAATGAAATCTTGTTGTTGTTGACACAATGGAAACCACCTCATCCTCACTTGCTCCCTCCCTCGCTCACTCACAGTATTTTTAAACCCAGAGCGTAGTATCACCTAACCAATAGAAAATGTATTTATTCTCTCTCCATCTCAGGGTACAACAATAACTTCCACTTATATAGCGCCCTCCACGCAGGGTAGTGTCTCAGAGCGCGTAACGGTGGCGCAGTGACCGGAGTTTCACAGCTTAGTTGCTGAATGCGCTACCTCCAATGGTGCAGTGGAGGGTGCGAGGGACAAGCAGGAGCACCGGTGCCAGTCGAGTGGAGGTGCCAGTTGGTGGATTGGGGAGTGAGGAAGTCGGAGAGTTAGGGAGGGGCCAGACAGTGAAGGGATTGTCACTGTTCCTCTCGCTGTCTCTCCTGGGCACGTTACACACTCGAGGGAGGATTCTAAATGTTCACCTTTGAATGCGACAAGACACGGCACGCAGGAGGGTTATAGGAGCTCCCTTGTTTGTTTGCATTTCTCAGACTGCTCTCTCTCACACACACACTCTCTCTCTCCTCTTCCCCCCCCCATCTCTCTTCTCCCTCTCCCCTCTTTTCCCAGACAGATATACTCAGGCTGCTGTGTCTGTGTGGCCTATTACTGGACAATATGAAAACATTTAATATACAGATTGGTGTTGGGATGGTGTGGGGACTCTGGAACGGGGAGGGGTGGTATTAGCTTTGCTTGGCCTGTTGCGCGGGGTCCCTCATTGAATCTCAGGTGACAAGTGATGGCTCAGCTGGGCAGCAATCATAGAATCATACAGCACAGAAGGAGGCCATTCGGCCCATCATGTCTGTGCCGGCTCTTTGAAAAGAACTATCCAAATCAATCCACTCCCCCGCTCCCTCCCCATAGCCCTGCAAACTTGTCCTCCCCAAATAATTATCTGCTTCTCTCTTAAAAGCTGTTATCGAATCGGTTCCCACCGGCCTTTCAGGCAATGCATTCCAGATCCCAACAACTCATTGTGTGAAAAAATGTCTCCTCTCCTCTGTTTCTTTTAACAACTATTTTAAATCGCTGTCCTCGGGTTACCGACCCACCCACCAGTGGAAATAGTTTCTCCTTCTTCACCCTAATCGAATCCCCTCATAATTCTTGAAAACTTCTATTGAGTCTCCTCTTAACCTTCTCTGCTCCAAGGAGAATAATCCAAGCTTCTCTCGCCTCTCCTGATAACTGAAGTCCCTCATTCCTGGTACCATCCTGGTCAATCTCCTTTGCACCCTCTCCAGTGCCTTGACATCCTTCCTAAAGTGTGGGGCCCAGAACTGAACAGTCTCTCGCTGAGGCCTAACCAGTGTTCCTGACTTTTGTATTCTATGCCCCTATTTATAAAGCCCAGTATCCCATATGCTTTTACAACAGTTTTATCTGCCTGTCCGGCCACCTTCAAAGATTTACTATATGACCCCCCGGTCTCTCTGTTCCTTCACCCACATTAAGATTGTACCATCAGCTTACATTGCCTCTCCTCATTCTTCCTCCCAAAGTGCATCACTTCACATTTCTCTACATTAAACTTCATCTGCCCCGTGTCTGCCCATGTTACCAGTCTGTCTGTGTCCTGTTGCAGTCTGATACTATCCTCTTCTATTTTTCCAGCTTCGTATTATCTGCAAACTTAGAAATTGTGCTCCCTATACCCAAGTCCAGGTAATTTATACAGATCAAAAACAGCAGTGGTCCCAATACTGATCCCTGGGGGTCAACACTGTACACTTCCCTCCAGTCAGAAAAACAACCGTTCACCACCATTCTCTGCTTTCTGTCTCCCCGTCTGTATTTTGGACCGGACATTTATCATAAGCTTCCTTGTTCGGTTTTATTTTAATCCCAATTTCCTTATTCATCCAGGGAGGTTTGGATGCCCTACCTTTCCCCTTTGTGGGATTCTATTTGTTTTGCCCCCGAACTATCTCCTCCTTGAAGGCTTCCCATTCCTCGTTAGCTGTTTTACCTGCCAATCTTTCTTTCCAGTCCACCTTGGCTAGGTCCCTTTTAACTCAATGAAATTAGCCTCTTCCAGTTGAGTATCTTCACCTTTGATTGTTCCGTGTCCCTTTCCATCAGTACTCTAAACCTAATGATGTTGTAATCACTGTAGGATGCACCCCATTCGGACCTGGTGACTTATCTACCTTGAACACCGTCAATGAGCCATTGTGATCAATGAGCCACACAGAAGTGCAGTCACAGGTTTGATCCTTGCTTTGAGCCGAGTTATTGATTTGGGTGGAGCAGCTACAACTGGCCTCAGTCATGCGCCCATATTTAAGTATCCTCCCAACATAGTATTCTATAATAATAATAATTCTCAAAATGAACAGGAAGAAACGTTTCCAGAAACCAGTTTATATATTATATATTAAAAAAATCATTCCTGATCATCAACAGAAAAAANGTCTCCCTTTAGATCATAATATATTTTAGAAAATATATGATCAACTTGTGAGTGAAAACACACATGAGAGGAAATGTGCACTATAGTGAAAAATACACAAGAGTGCACGAGTGTGTGTGAAAGAAAGAGTGAGAGAGAGCAAAAACACACACACAGAGAGGAAGAGAAGTGTACAAAACCAAGATTATAAATTGGGAACGTAAGAGCGGGTAGTCAAAGCTTTATAATCTGGGAGAGATTTGAGTACGGACTATCTGTAGTAAATAAAGAGGTAGGCCATCTGAGAGCACTGGGAATGCCTGGGTGTCTGTGGTGTGCAATTACTGACTGGAGGGCTGCTTTCAGTACAATTGTGATGAGATAAAGTGAGACCACAAAGTAGAGAACATGTGGTGACTGCATTTTGCAGATACGTGCGACACACACCAACCACAGGCCCAATGGGGTACCTGCTACCTGATTGTGATCAGGCACCAGCGTAGCACAAACCTGACAAACCGTATTGCAGAAACTAACCAATTATATACCAAGTAACAGTATTGAGGAGACTCCACACAGGGTCAGCCTCCGTCTGTCTGTCTCAAGTAACACACAAGCCTAAAGTGTTGCTCACTGCAGTCAAAGTCTTTCACTAACTCCTGCAATGCCAGACTTCCAGCCGGACTACAGCTTACTAGTCTCACCACAATATTACAGGAGCTTCATTACAAAGTCCGAACAGTCATGAGCTTTACACCCTTTGAGCACTGACCTCCCAGTGACTTCCTATTTATACAAATATTTAATAAAAAGATACAAACCATCATCTGAGGGTTTATGCAAGGAAAGCACGATTTGATGAAAGTTGAAACAAACATGAAAGAACATTATGTTGAAGGAGAGAAGCCTTCAGCACTCCGTGTTATTGTTGTACTCCCTGCAGGAATCTCAAAACAATGAGATACAGTAAGTACTCACTCAAATGAAATGGTTTCCTCATCGCCCAGCATTGAGCACTGGAATGCTTTACCACACAGGAACCCTGACTTTAAAAAGTCTCTAAAGTAAACCACGTGACCCTGGTCACACAGGCTGGGCACTGGGACACTCCGCTGTACACTCACAGCCAGCCGCGCACAGCCATCCTCACACCTCCTCAGCTTCCTCTCTCCCGGGCTGCTGCTCACTTCACTTCAAACGAAAGCATGACTCATGCCTGAAGCCACGGCGTGTTGCTGCACGATTTATATCTGTGGAATTCAGCCACTCAGACTCTCCTACACACGGTCATAAACAAAGGGTTCTTTCCCTCACATGCTCATGGCTTCTCATTCTTTCTTTCCAAAACATGAAATACTATTCCCAACTTTCAAAATAAACAAGCAGGTCAGTATACACACAGGCAACATACATGTGTACCATGTGTATAATGTATACAACATGTACACATGTGAAGCATGCACAAACACGCATGCACTGAGTTGGTGCGACTCCATCACATTTCAGCTCACAACAAGCAGCGTGGAGTTTCTACTTGTATTTGAGATTGTCGTTCACCTGTAGGTTATTCTGCATTAATAACCTACCCAGATTTTACTCTCTAAACAGCAGTAACAGAGTCTCAAGTCATGAGCAAGTGATCACGGGAAGCTCACTAGTGTCTGGCATCTCACAGCACGAAACAGCCAGTGGCCTGCTGTCTCCTTTAAAGACAATCAACATATTGGGAAGGGAGTCTTCTACCCAACAGTGCGTTAAGAGCCCACAGATTCTCTCAGATGACAAAATGCACCTAAACACAATGCATTCTTTACAATCCAACTTAACTGTACACCAGCACCCAGGGTCTACAGAACAAACAACTACAAGAATATGGAACATTTCCGTAACATCTCTCATCCCAAAGTGGCACAAGCTACAACACGCACTGCACTGCACCCTGTGAAGCAATCCTATCCCATGACAGAAGAGGCTTGAGCCTTGGAAGGTGACGGACTGTGCCGGCAGGAATAACATTGAGTTTGCTGGGTGCCTGGAACCATGCAGGTGACCGCACTGAGACCGCGCGTTGGCATTCCAGATGGGCAACTAGACTACAGAAACAGAGTGAAGGGTTTGATTGCAACATCTCCAGCTCAAAGTTTCGACAATGGGTCAGTGCAGGCGTCTCAGCTTGGAAGCCAGTTTGAGCGCGAGCTGGGCTCAAGTGGCTTCAAAGGGAATCAGAATACCATAAAGCAGCGGCCCTGGTGAGGCGTTGGGGAAGGGAATGCACACGGTGGGATGGCAGGTGTGGTGGCAGCAGGTCATCACGGACTGGGAGCTCAGCGGGATTTATGGCATCACCGGCAGCAGCCAAACAGGCCCGTTTAGAGAGGGAGAAAAAGAAAGAGGCGATAAATCACCTTTCGCTTGCCTGTGGCGATACCACTAATAGTAAGAAAAAGAATAATTTGATCCCAGAGTAATGCATGGGTCTGCATTTAACCCTAAATGCACCATTAAATGCCAAGCCCACTACCGTAGCATTATCATTGTGCTGCAAGCGACGGCTTGGCATGGAGGCTGGAATGGCCTGGGATTTGCACTAGCACGTTTGGTTACATATCTGGTCTTTGCTCACTCGCTTGGACAATTTCCACATAAAGGAGCTGTCTGACCGGCATCTGACCGGCGGTACCCAGCCTGAGCTTGGAGAGAGCCGCGTGGTGGAGCACACTGCTGTTCAAAGGATTGCTTACGGGAATTACTGAATAATAATAATAATCCTTGCATTTGATATAGTGCTTTTCACGTCTTCTCGACATCTCAAAGCGCTTCACAGAATGGACTGTAAAATGAATTGACCGTATATTTGTGGGCGAAACGTAGAACAACAACAAGATTGCATTTATAGAGCGCCTTTCACGTCGGGAGGAACAAGAGGCAACATTGAAAGAGTCCCAGAGCAGGTTCCTTCAAGCCTTGAGAGAGGCAATAGCTTTGAAAATCTCTGGATATTTTTTGGTGAGTGCAGGTTAGGTGGGAAGGGAGAACATTAGAGGCACATTGTTTAGCGATTACTCTTTAATGTGTTGTTTGCCTGAGGGGCTTTTTACTGATTTAACTTTGCAGCTCGATTACCTGATGAAAGGAAACTGGAGTCAGATCAGGAGAATCCAGATTAAAAAGGCAGAAGAATTGAACCACTTCAGACATCTTGGCATAACAAGCGCCGTTTATAATCTACCCCATACAATTGGGGCAATCGTTTCCTCCTGCACTACTTTTCTCCTCTCCTGAAGTAGGTAACTCATGTTGGGGGAATAGTTCCATGAGCTGCCTCCGATATCTTACCAAGTGACGGTTCGTCATGCAAGAGTACCAGACAGCAAGTGTGAAGACTGATATTCCACTGCAGGGCATCAGGCACTCAACTACCCCACATCCCAGGCCTTGACACGGATATCCCCACACAGGCACCTTTTCTGGATATTGGTCAGGAGTAGGAACCGTGACTGATGTTACCCCTGTTCTAACCCAGGGATGCACGTGCAATATTGCACTAATGTAATTAATAAACAGGATGGAATACAATCAAGGGGCTCCAGTGTTTTAAATATAGAATAATGGATCCCCAAGAGTGAGTTCCAGGCTGTAACCTAATCAAGGGGCTTAAAGGGGGGTTATGTATAGCTGGGAGCAAGTTTTTGTGACTGCTCTGGTTGGCAGCTGGTTGGGGTTACAGAAACACAGTTACAGGCAGTACTGACCACGCACATAGTGACACACGTGACAGATTTCCAAGTTATATTTGTGGCCATATGTTCAGGGGCTGGTAGGATGGATATAGAAGCCAGAAAGAGTATATAAATAGGAAGTATAGGGCACTTGGCGTTGTCCTAATATCCAGTTACACTCAGTACAGTCTTAACAGACCCCTGTGGAACCTATAGTGTAGTGGTTAGAGCAGTCGCCTCGCAAGCGAGAGGACCTGTGTTCGATTCCTGAGCAGGGTGAAACCTTAGCCAGGTTTCCTTGTTTACCTAGCAATAAGTAGGAACTCGGTTGTTATTCGAATGGTGGATGTATGCAATTAATTCACTTTATTGTAAATTCTGAGAAGCGGTTTGAAATGTCTCGAAGATGATGAAGCGCCATATCAAAGGCAAGGATTATTATTATCCCTCCATCTCACTGTGACTCATCTGACCAGTCCTCGCAGTCCTCAAGTACTGGCTGCCAGAAGCCAGGCTGCACATTTCAAGCCTTATTTATAATAATAATAATAATTAAATTTTCTTTGAAAACATCACAATGAAAGAAATTATGATGACATTCCTCCTGTGGCTGGTTCCGTTTGTGCAAGGATTTCATTACAGAGCTGCAGACACCAGAGGTGCCTGGCTACACACTGAGCCTATTCCTGACGCTGCTGGATAACAGACTCGGTATAATTACACTGAAACACTACTCAGTTGTGCTACACAGTCACAGCACCCTGCGTGACCTTTATTGATCATTTTGATTGATTATGTAAACAGATCCCAGACGTACACAGGCTTTCAAGAAACTTCCTCCCGCGCTGGTCAACACAAAACGTGGGCAGGTCACAAGTCACGAGGCAAAGGCAATCCGTCCATTCATAACTGGGCACTCACCATGTCGTAGTGCTGTCACAAGAGGCTGCCCGAAAACAGTGCACCGCCCTCTAGCGTGAGCAACCCGCTACTACAACACAATCAACACTCACTTCCTAATGGATCCCACGGATGCTGTGAATTTATTCAGAAAGCATCTTCCATATAAATAGTAATTGTTGTTAAACCACTGACATCTAGAACAGAATAATAACATGTTCAAAACTAGATCTAGATGATCTACAGGCTGATACCAAACCTGCAGCTTTTCTATCTGGTCTCAATTACTGTTGCCATGTGGGACAGCACAAGAGGCACATCAATCTCTATAGCGCTCGCTGTAAGCACATTGAATCTAGGCCGGTATAATAGAGGTGTTACTTACCTTGGTGAGTCGCTCGGTGGGGGGCTCTTCAAGCCCCTGGGTTTGGCACTGGCCGGGTGGAGAGCTCCTGGGCTGTGCGACATCAGTGCAGGTGAGGCGGGGCTCTTTAAGTGCTTGCTGGGGCTGGAGTTCTTCGACGCTCTGAGCGGGGGTTGGGAGCCAGCCAGCATCTTATTGTCTGTGGGCCGACCCTTCTCCTTCTTGGGTTTTTTCTGACACACAAACTGCTCGAGAGCCGGGTGCTCCTCCTCGGGTGTGAGGATGCGCTGAGAGTCAGCCTGCTCTCTGTGCTGGTACTCTCTCATCTCCTGAGCTCACTGGGCAAACATCCAGGGCAAACACAGAAACAACAGTCACTCAAACAACCTTTCTGAACTCCCACAAACCCAGCCCCTTCATCCCCAAATTGAATACCTCCCTGCCACTCCATCCAATCTGAACAACAACTGTACACTTGTTCACTTCTAACAGTTCATAAGCCAATCACACATTCATGACCAAATTGGTTAAAAGCTTAGACATACAGTGTACGATCAGGGTTATTTACCCTCCAATTTTTTCCCTTCTTCCCTGTGCCCATTGGTTTGTAGTGAGTACTGTCCCACACCTGAGTGTAGGTACTGAGCTGAGCGATGATAGGCTACATGACTAGCTAAGAGCATCACGGCAGAATCCAGTTCTCTGCCCCTCCGCCACCAATGCCCATCTTCCAACAATGGGTCTCTGGAAAGCAAATGGGTGTGTGAACAGGGTGTGACATGACTGTTCCCAACCTGGGTTCTGCCTGGCAGCTGCTGATATTGTTTCAAGGCTTTTCCCTCTCCCATGATGTTGGCAGTTATGCTATTAACCTGGTTATCTTGTCCCATGTGACCTCCAGTTTCCGGTACAGAATGAAAGTCATAAGACCAGCAGAAGGAGTGTCCCACAGAACCTGAACTCCACAACCTGCTGCTAACTGCCAGCAAACTCACCTGGAGTAAAGGAATGTGTCTCACTGCACTGAAAGAGGTCAGAATCCAAGAACTGCAAGTGAGTTGGGGGGGACAACAGGCAAAGAGGTGGGTGTGTTTAGAACAGGGAGGGAGAGTGGGTATGACGCAAATGGAATCTGTGAATGACTTCTGAACAGCTAGCCAATTCCCTCTTGAATTTGGTGACGATCTGTTTACACCACCTCTCTGGGTTGGTCATTCCATACATAGGAACAAGTAGGCTATTGAGCTCATGGAGCCTATTCTGCAATTCTATAAGATCATGGCTGAACTGTACCTCAATTCCAATTACCCTAACATACATTCAACAACAACTTTATATTTACTGTAGTAAATAGTATAGCCTTTCACATGACTTACTTGAGATTCTCAGACTAGGCGGTTTTTTATGCTGCAGCACAGAACGCAGGAGACGGCAGGGGAAGCAGCCAGTAACACATTCCCGCTCCTCTTGTACTCAGGGGCTCAACAAGTTTAATTACTCTGTAAAACAAACACACACGACTGAAGTTCAGTTGTTGAAAGGTTTAATGGGTCACATTCTCCTCTCAGTCATATAACTGTGGGTTTAAGGCCCACATCAGACCTGAGCTAACACTCCAGGCTGACTTCCTGGACATGCTTGCCAATAAATACAGATACAACATTTAACAGTGACTGCTTGCGAGTGCTAGTAATGTTGACGTGATGGGGCACTATAAATATGCAGGTTCTTTCTTACTTGCTGCTTAAAGAATAATGCAGACATGTTGTAACAGGAGCTCTCTCAAGGAGCGCAGCAAAATCTGCAGTTTGTGTGTATCAAGGGACATCAGAGATGAGGGACAGAAGAGTTTTCTGCAATTATACACCCCTCGGTCAGCGACTGCACTGTAGGTTAGACACAGAGTAAACTTCTGTACAGGTCTCATCGAGCATTCACAGGTTAGGTATAGAAGGGGTTAGATACAGATACAGATGGGGGCCAGACATGGGTGTGAGATTGTAACACAGGTTAGTTGGTTAGTTAGTTATGAGATATGCGATTACTGGGAGGAGTGATTGCCACCTGAACAGGTGTGTTCTGCCTGATTGTTCAGACTCTGAGACGCAGCAGAGCTGAGCACGTTCACTGTAACTAACATTCACAGGCCATTTGCTACAGGTGAGAATATGCCGACATTTGTACTTAGCTGCTTCAACATGAAAATAGATTTGTGCAAATAAAAACCCAACCACGCAAACATTCTGGAAGAATCTCTTACTCAGTCCCTATAGCTGGTAATGACTTCACCTGGCAAGCATGAGGAAGTCTGAAGTCCGGTCAGATCACTGGCTCCCTATTTCCACTCGCACTGGACAGAACAGTGTGTGCGAGTGTGACAAGGCAAATAAGTACTGTTTTTTTGGGGGGGAGCAGCTGCAATGGCACAAATGGCCATCAGATTAGGTCTGAATTGGTCTTTCAGTACGGAATGTTGAGGGGGGGGAGAGGGGGCTGGGGGGAGAGGGGGGAGGCATCTCATCAGGGCCAGCTCCTACCAGGTGCAGAAAAGAGAAAGGAATGGAGAAGTATGGGTATTTTCGAAAATTAATTCAGATTAGAAAACGGGGAAAGTTTTCTTCTGATCAGTGAGCAAAGGTTCACAGTCGTCCTTGTGTGGAGAGGGGTCTGTTCTGCACTGTCTGTACACCCGACCATTGGGAGCTGAATTTCAGGCCTCTGTCTTGCAGGCGTACTCAATTCCTTGTGTGTGCCACAGGGCACATCTCTGGCCGATTTTCCCACTGTAGCCCCACACTCTCAGCAACCTGGCTTTCACTACCCACCTTTCCAATTGCTCATGCTCTTTCCTTTTATTTTCCAGAACATAAGCGTCTCAATTCATCTAAGAAAGGTAATCCTTGGCTCAGTGTCCTTTATTTCACACCTCTTCTCGAACGTGAAGTAGAAGATCTATGGAGATTATTTATCTTGTGCATCATACAGCTTGATTGGCGCAAGAGACGAGAGAGAGGGAGGAGGCTACTCTCCTGACCTCAATCTTGCCTGGTATTCTTATACACATAGTGATGTATACCTAGCAGTTATGTCCTGTACAGGAGTCCTGTAGCTCAGTGGTTAGAGCACTCGCTTTGCAAGTGAGAGACCTGAGTTCAATTCCAGGCAGAGGGCGAAACCTTGGGCAAGTTTCCTTACTCCACACAGAGCCTAATAATAATCCCTCCAAAACAAAAACAATAATAAATTGGTCATTTTCAATCTACGACTGTTTGTGGGACATTGCTGTGCGCAATTGGCTGCCGCGTTCGCCCACAAATATACAGTCAATTCACTTTACAGTCTATTCTGTGAAGCGCTTTGGGACGTCCTCCCGACGTGAAAAGCGCTATATCAAATGCAAGGATTATTATTATTATTATTATGTTTTCCTAACAGTAAATAGGAACCCGGTTGTTAGTCTGATCACTTTTCCGGGAGCAATAATCCCTTCAAAAAAAATGAATAATTTGGTCACTCAATGACCAAATTGGCTGCCGCAGTTCGCCCATAAAATATAGTCAATTCACTTTACAATATATTCCGTGAAGTGCTTTGAGATGTCTCAAAGATGTGATAAGGCCCTATATCAAAGCAAGGATGATTATTATTATTATGGAGCTTTGGGCCACTTACTATCTGTTAAACTCCTTCAAATGGCAAATATATATTTGCACGAAATTGTACAAATATTCAACACATCACAAGCATCAAACACAGCCTTTCTCTGTCACACCAATAATCAGCTTATTTTAAGAAAAAGTATTTCATCAAAATTTCCAAGTGTGCAAGTTGGAACTTGGCTTCTGGGGTTACAAAGGCTTTGTACCAATCACAGAGCAAGTGTGTCTGGGCATGTCTCCCAGAGTGTCAGTACATTTCTTCTGTGTGTCAGGTTGAGAGAGGGGGAGAGAGAAAGAGAGAGATAATCAAAGAGAGACAGAGGGAATACAATCGGGGGGCGGGGCGGAAGGAGGGAGAGTAAAGGAAAGCTTGAGAGAGAAAGAACACACACACATACATACACACACCCACCATCTATGTCTCCCCCTTTATGAGCTACAGAGCAAGTACCAGCAACACCCACGTTAAAAAGTGCAGAGCAGGAGGACACTGAGACAATCTTCATCAAGCCACAGCCGCTGCTCATTCTCTGAAGAACTAACTCAAGTTCTATCCCTGATCTATGTTACTACTGATCTCACAACAACAACAAATTATACTTGTGTGGTGCCCTTCACGTCAGAAAAATGTACCTGGGCGCTGGAAGTCGGATTTATTGGACCCGAGCTGGGAGTTGGGGTCACGAGGGGTGGAGGGCAGGGATGGTGGGGGTGGGAAGGTGGCTGAAGGCACAGTCGAAGAGGAAGGTCTTTAGATGGGACTTGAAGCAGTCAAAAGAGGGGGTGAGGCGAAGGGATTGCTGGAAAGAGTTCCAAAGTATGGGGGGCAGAGATGCTGATGCCCAACCACCAATGGTGGGGAAAGAACTGCGGGGAACCTGAAGCCGAAAAGAGGGGGCGGACAGGATGATATGGGGTTAGGAGATCGGAGAGGTAGGGGGAGCAAGACTGGAGGGTTTTGAAGGTGAGAACGAGGGTATTGTACTCAATTCTGGGGGGTGGGGAGCCAGTGAAGCCATGCCCTCTGCCTCCACAAGATTTCCTCTTTGGTCCCTAATTGGACCCACCCTATCTTTGACTAACCTTTCATTCTTTATGCTTATAAAATACCTTAGTGTTCCCTTTTATGTTACCCGCTACTCTTTTCTCATACAATCTCTTTACCCCTCTTATTTCCTTTTTCAGTTTTCCTCTGTACTTTCTATATTCTATTTGATTATCTTCTGTATTTTGGACCTGACATTTATCATAAACCTTTTTCGGTTTTATTTTAATCCCAATTTCCTTATTCATCCAGGGAGGTTTGGATGCTCTACCTTTCCCCTTTGTGGGAATGTATTTGTTCTGTTCCCGAACTATCTCCCCCTTGAAGGCTTTCCATTGCTCGTTAGCTATTTTACCTGCCAATCTTTCATTCGGGTCCACCTTGGCTAGGTCTCTTTTTAACTCACTGATATTAGCCTCTTCCAGTTTAGTATCTTCACCTTTGATACTTGTCCCTTTTCATCAGTACTCTAAACCTAATGATGTTGTGATCACTGTTGTCCAGATGCTCTCCTACTGAAACTTGCCCCATTCCCCAGTACTAGATCCAGCACTGCTTCCTTCCTCGTTGGGCTGGAAACATACTGATCCAGAAACTTATTCTGCACACATTACAGGAATCCTTCCCCCTCTTTGCCCTTTACACTGTTATTTTGCCAGTCTATGTTAGGATAATTGAAGTCCCCCATTATCACTAGTCTATTGGTTTTGCATCTTTCTGAAATCTGCTGCAGATTTGCTTGTCTATCTCCTTCCCACTATTTGGTGGTCTATAGTATACACCAAACAGTAACAGCTTCTTTTCTGCTCTTTAACTCTAACCAAACAGATTCTGTTTTTGGACCCTCCAGCACATCATCCCTTTCCAGGGCCGTAACCGTATCTTTAATCAATATTACCACTTCCCTCATTTGTCATCCTCATTTGTGACAAGCTCAAACCTGCGCTCAGTCCCACACCAGCGGAACAACTCTCAGCTACAAGATCTAACAGAGCAGCCTTTCACAATGAGATGAGTGCAGAGAGGATACCTTGTTAGAATAATTCCAGTCCATGTAACAGCACTAATTGTGTTCTCAGTGACTGATGGAGAATCCTCTTATTAACAAGGGTCTCTCCAGAGAGAGAATTAACACACAAGGTTAGCTTTTATTACCAAGGTCAATAATCAGTTAGCGAGCAAGGACCTGTCTGCCAATAATACAACTTACAGCAGGAACTGCACATCTCCATTAGGGCAGAGGGCCAATAACAGTAACCTGTTCAGGGCAGAGACACAGGCACTGAGGGTGTGGGCATGTTCACTGACAAATGGGAGTCCTGTAGTCGATGTGTATTCCGTGAAGCACTTTGAGGCGTCTCAAAGACATCATAAGGCGCAAGATCCCATCTCTTACACCGGCTCCACTTTGTCTCCACAGCTTCTCCTCCAGCCCCCGCAGTCTCATACAGTGTTCCTTAGGGCTCTGTCCTCAGTCCTCTCCAACCTGTACATGTTCCATCTTGGTGACATCATCCGCAGACATAGGGTCAACTTCCACATGTACATGGATGACACCGACTCTACCTCTCTGCTTCCACCCTCGACTCCAGGACCACTGTTGTCCTGACAGTCTGCCTGGCAGACATCAAGTCTTGGATGAGGACCAAGTTTCCACAGTTGAACGTCAGGCTCAGCCAGCGTCCATGCAACTCAGGCAGTGGCAACATCAGCATCCACGGATGCACACTCCACCTTACCAAGCCAGTCAGGAACCCGGGCATCTTGTTCGACCCTCAACTGTCCTTTCTCTCCC